CAATTACAATGTTTAAAAGACAGTTGATTTAGTACATGAATAAGAAATGTTTGGAGGGATATGGGCCAAGTGCAGACAGGTGGACCAGTTAGTTTGGGATTATGGTCGCCATGTTTGGATGGAGGGCCTGTTTCCGTGCTGTGTGGATCTATGACTCTATTACATAGGAGTTTGTTACAGTGCAAGATATGTCCATTATGTACCTCCTTCCGATTCTCAAATGGACAATTTAAGGCATGCTGAGAAATTATTTAAAACAAAAAGATCGAGGAGAAAACAATTCAAATATGAAGAAAACAGAGTAGATGCTGGAAATGCAAGTATGTCTCATCTAAACTCCTGAAGAATTGCCTATCAAACACGTGAAGCCCACAGAACATATTCATTTGAATTGAATAATCGGACCTCAGGTGGTTGGCCATTTACAACATAAAATCACCAAATGTTGCAACAGAGAAGGAAGCTATACAGGTCATCAGACTTTCCAAATGAGCTGTCTCAATGTCTTTCATTGGCTTTTTCCCTGTACATTTTCAAACACTTCTTTCAAACTAGTAGTTTAGGAAACTAAGCAAAGAAGTAATTGAAGAGCCTAGGGGTATATACTTAGGAGAGGAGATGCCATTGCGAAGTTATTAAATATTCAAAGTCCTTAGGGGAAGTGATGCATTTGACTCTGGTAAAATGCATGCATTTGCCCGTGGAATTTAGATTTAAGAGGGCAAGGTGAATGGTTTTGATTAAATTATGTGGAGCAAATTGGAAACACTTGAGGGAATATGGCTAGTTGAATAGTACAGTTTTAATTTTTGGGACTGGCCAAATGGTCTGCAGTCTTCCAGTACTCTCCTATACCATGTTATTTAATTTTTCCAGCACCTATATAACAATATGGGTCTATTCAGTATGGGCAGTAGAGGTATCCATACAACTTCAAAGTTTCCAATGATGCATGCCAACATTCAAACTAGAGACTGTAAGCTACTGAAGTGAAATAATGGGATGGGAACAAAATGCTGACTTTTTGTATATTACGACAGGGGAAAAAAATGAGACGTTGTCATCCATCTGTTTTGCCAATTGCCATAGTTAAAGTTAGTAACTTCAGTATGAGGGGATTATTTCTTCAGGAAACTGGAAAGATTCAATATTGTGATGTGTGTTATAGTTAACAATGCAGATTGTTAAATTAGTATTTTTGTGGCAAGGAAATGCACTTTTCGTTGCTAGAAGGAAACAGACCAGACAAAATTGAGGTTTAATGAGGTGGCAACCATTGAGGGCTTTCAAGACATGGCTTACATTTCACAGTGACGTAGAAAATTGTAAGACCAAATCTATTCACCAAGGATTAGTTGAATGTAACTGGAAATGTAACAGAAGTTTCAGAAAGGGCCAGGAGTCTGATTCTAACATTTTCAATGGATCAGTATTGTTGAAAAATAGTTCTGGAGAAGCATTCTGTTTCAGATAGCTGATATGTAAAATCAATTTGTTTCAATGTTATTCCAGGGTACAGCATGGTATTTCCAACCATAGCTTTATAGACATTCAATATTTTTTGTATTTGTTCGTGATCTGACAACTTATTTCTGAGCCGAAGAGTCCATACTGGACTCAAATTGATTATGTTTAAAAGTTGCAATAGAATGACAAGTTCGCAAGTTAACTCTGTTCCTTTCTCCACTGAAGCTGCCAAACCTGCTGAGATTCTCCAACGCTTTGTTGTTTTTTATTTCAAATTGTCAGCACCTGCAGCATTTTGCCTTGATTTAACTTCCATTGTTAAATGCCAGCAGAAAATAATTTCTGTATTTTCCTTTTGATATTTGGATATCATGATGTGTAATTCTCTAGTCTGTGTCATATTTTACAGAAATCACCCTGACAGAGATAAGAAAAAGTCAGATAATCTGGCAGCCTCCAGTTCTACCCTCCAGCCACTCCAGTAGCACTATCCACCAATCTCATTAGGAAAATACCCACTGTTCCATAAGACACAAATCTGACTTCCACTTAATCATTCAATAAATATTAATCAATTTGGCAGACAACATGTTTGGATGTATGACCCAAATTTGCATGATTTTACATTTGTAATTCAATAAAAGGATTTGTCAATAGATGCTGAGATAGCAAGAACTGCAGATGCTGGAAGATTTCTGAAGAAGGGCCCTGATCTGAAATGTCAGCTTTCCTGCTCCTCTGATGCTGCCTGGCCTGCTGTGTTCCTCCAGCTCCACACTGTGTTATCTCTTATTTATGTCAACAGGTGCTTATGTATTTTGTACAATTTCATTAAAAATTCAAAATTGAAAAGCATTTTGATTGTGGATGATTAAATAATAACAATAATAAGTGAATTTATTGAGTAATTCAATAATTAGTAAAAGAATTTGAATTTAGTTGCTTTTTTGCTTCTTCCCAGTTATCTGCCAACCCCACTCCCACCCCCTTTCTGGTCGTCCAACCATGTATACTCAGTGTCATAGAGGTTCCTTGGAACATTGTTAAGTAAACCATTGCGGGACACAATGGCTTAATTGTATTGTTGCTGGACTTGTAATTTCCCAAGACCCACATAACACGCTAGTGACTTGGGGTCAAATCCCAACCTTGGCATGTAGTGGAATTTGAATCCAATAAAAATCTGGAATGAAAAGCCAAATGATGAACTCATTTGGTTCACTAATGCACTTTAAAGAAAGAAACAGCTGACTTACTGTCATTTGGGCAAATACAGGTTAATTAAGGAAAGCCAGCAGGAGAAGTTCAAGAGATTTTAACTTGCTTGCATTTTCTGCTTTGTTAACTAAGAGAGTTGATGTGGGTAATGTGATTGATGTGGACTTTTAGGTTGAAGGAGCTTTTACAAAATGGATGAAATGTTTTTGTGTGTTGTATGTAGAGAGGTGCAGACCTGGTTCCGTTCCCATACAACAATACTTCATCCATTTTGTAAAACCTCCTTCAATCTAAAATGTTTGAGATTCGCTGGAGGGGACGAGAAGCATTCCACTGCATTCGACCTTCAGAAAGTTGGCAGCAATAACTGGGTTGTAAGTTGATAACCTGGTTCTTGATTTTTTGCTAATTAACTTGCTCTCCACCAGCACAATGGTCTCTCTTAGGAAGGTTTAATGCCTTTTTATGAGGACCATGCGCATTGTGCTTTTTAGACCACTACAACAATCTCAGAAATCCATGGCTTTCAGCGTAATTGGCTATTTGGGAGACATATGCTGATTCTGAGGCATAGAGTTTCACTGCCGAATTTTGTGTTTATAAATTTGAATTTGTAACTCAGGTAGGTCAGTGAGGCAACGTGTTGCAAGCAGCACCTTGTGCATCAATTGGTTATAGGTTCTTGTCACTTGTGAAAGTGTTACAGTGAGTATAGGAGGAACTTGTTCAAGACGAAGGGTGCGTTGTCACCACTAGTGCGTTGCTCTGATTGCAAAATATACACCATAACTACTTTGTTGACCTGTTTGTTTCAGGGATGGAGTGTGAGAGGGTGTCTGTGGCTTGTGTCCTAATTGCAGGATTCACACTCTCACTCACTGGTAGGACCAGGAGATCTGGAGACAATCACCCAACTCTGGTGTCTAGGTAAATAAATGAAACTAATAGTTTGTTGCCATTGTAAATCAGGCCAAGTATAGCAGTGAAATTAGCAGTTTTAAATTCAAATGTAGAAAAGGCAAAGTTGAAAGATTATTTATCCAATGAATAGATACAAATATTGTTCTGTTTGGACCAAAAGGAAGAAAAATTAGAAGATTATAAGATGAATTTTATTTATTGAGTTTTAAAACTAAAAGCAATCCCCATTTCTCAGCTGCATTTGTGCAGCTACACGAAGAGACTCAGCAGAAAGGAAACTGACTATCTGTGGTTAATGTGTTCCATTACACAGAAATTTTTATTCTAAAGCTTTGCTTTGAAGTTGTGTATTTATAGGTACTTACAGAACACATCCACTGTGTGTATGATTATCTTTACCAGAAACTGGAGAAGAGAAACCACCAGCACAGGACAGAAACAACTGAAGGAGTTGTTGCGTGCAAAGGAATAATTTGAATTCACACAGGGAGAAAACTTAAGGACAAGGAATAAATGGAGTACAAGCTTGGGAGAGAAATTAAGCAAGAGAAGGACACAATAGCTACAAGAAACCTTCTAGGTATTTTTAATTGAACCTCTTCCTAGTATTACAAATGATGAAACTGATACTCGTATGTGGACAAAGCCATTCTGATGTGCATCTGTATAGAAACATCAGCATAACGCAGGAAACCTGATCTGATATGACATTGATGTCAAGGAGGTAGGATCCCACCCCAAGTAGGTATTCTTCCATTATTGGGACGTCTCGAACGTAGTGTAGATATTTTAATGATATGATAGAAATAATAGATCCAACAGTTAATTTGTGTTTGCTAACTTCACAACACAGTACACAGAAATCAGCCAGTATCCAAAATAGAATTCATTTATTTTTTAGTTGCTAATTAGCTGCAGTGTGAACAATATAAAATAATATCTGTATTTTTCATTAATAAAATATCGAATACAATGTTATCAAAAACACATTTCAGTGAAAAATAAGTAGTTTTGAGATTAAATGTTTTCAAATACAGGCATATTTGGCAGAATTTTAAATGTATCATAACTAAGTGCAAATTCTCACACATCACTCTCATTTTTTTCTCAAAGTAGGGCTGAAGAACCAACATCAGCTGAAATTCTGACCACATCACTTGAAAATACGGCAAATAATTGGGCCCGGGCTTTAAAACTGAATGTATTTGTGGTTACAGCTAAATCTGTTGATATTTGCAATTGAGTGTAGAGAAATCAACAAAGATAATTGATAATATTTAAGTCTGACACTTGAGGTTTTCTGATAACATAAACATAATTTAGAGCATCATAAATAAATATCTAAAATCTATTAAATACATTTTAATAAGATTTGAATAGGTATTTTACCCACATACTAAATTAACATATAAGTTATGAGCATGTAAAATAATCAGTCATGAAATTAATTCAATTGAGTAACAGAAGTACGTAAGACTTCCCTTTGCCTCACATTGCACTTAGTCAGTTCTGAGTTGGGTCAATAGGCTTGCGGTTCTCCATCGGAAGATGGAGGGGAAAATTGGATGTGGAATAATTTACCTCATGTAATACCCACCCCTCCATAACAACCTGCTGCCAGGCAGTACTAGAACAACAGGAATACTACCAAATAAATAAATAAATAAAAATTAAAAACATATAAATAAAAAGATTGTGTACCATAGAATCAAAATAGTGTGTCTGTAATGAGTGCAATATCTATATTGCACATCGTACTTAGTTGATTTTGATTTTAAACAACAAGAAAATGACAACTGGACGGTTAGAAACTATCCATAAAAAAAGTAGCTTCAAGGAAAAAAAAAATCTTGTTTTCTGATCTGGACTTTGATTTACAAGCAGCTGCCAAGTAACAGAAATGAGTATTTACGGCAATGGGATTTTTTGGCCTTAGAAAGTCAGGTTAGTTTAAACGTGACTGCCCCTCAGCAATATTATGATACATTGTACAATACAGAGTACAGCTCAGCTGTTTGTTAAACAGCAACTTTTTCAACTCAATTGCTATAAGACTTTAGCTATATATATAAAAGGGTTTGAAAACTTGATTTTCAAGTAAAAATAATCAATGCGACTTCTCAAAACATAAACGTTTTTTCAGTTCATCCAACTGCATTACATACAGCTTAACTATTTCATAGCTGAATTTCTTCTTATCATACTCAGATTCTATTTGTGTATTTGGGCTAGAGACAGAGGGAGGAGTTGTATCTAATGACATACTGAGCTCATGCACGATTGTCACAATTTGGCGTCCATGAAACTTCAGTTCATTCCTCAGTTGTTTATTGTCTACAGACAACATAGAGAAGTACAGTTTTAAACGTTGAAAGGCTTTGTAGAACTCTTCTAGGTGTCCAGTTTTATACATTGAATCCACATCATCTAATCTTAGAATGGTTGGTCTTTGATTATTTTCATTCAATTGTTCGGAATTAAATCCAAGATACTCTGTCTATTTAAAATTGAATGAAGAAAGAAAAGAATACGTCACTATTAAAATACCTTGGCAGAATTTAACACCAAAGTGACAGACTGAATAAAGGAAGTTAATCCAGAAATTCCATAAAGTGTTCTAAATATAAATATTGATCCCAAACAAGAAAGTGTGAACCAATAAAGCACATGTTGGAAATAAGATTATGCTAATAAATATATGTCTTGGTGTGGCTTATGAATACATGTAGAATACCAAAGAATACACTGATTCTATCTAATTAATCTTAATGAGAAAACATAATTCTATTGGAAAATAATACAGAAATAAAGAACAATGTACTTTAATTAAAAATAAGTAAGTGCTACAATAAGTGTAGAAGAATATTCAGTAGCGTTTTGTCAATGCTTGTGGTGTAAGGTAACCACGAACAATAATTTGGTGGCATTATCATTGACTATAAGTCTCATAAGAAATTATGAGGAAAAAAATCGCAAAGCACCTTAAAATATACTCACAAGGTCAATTAAGAGTTTCTGAGGTTCCAGGTTCTCAGCCAGTGTGCACACATTTTCCCTCAAGGGCAGTGGAACACAATGAATTGCACTGAACAATAAAATAAAGCTGAGTTCCTGGATCTCTGGAATGACACATTCAATATGTGTTAAACAAATGAAATGTCACGATGAATGTTAAAGATTACACTTAACTGAAATAATATTAAATAAGTTTTGAAGGGTTACCTGCTGTGAGTTTCATTGTGGATCAGTAATTAAAACCTGGATCCTCCTGGTAGTAAATTTCTTTCCAACTGTCTAGTGACAGCAACACAACATCCATATTTATATCTTTCAACCCTTTGTTGGAATTTTTGATGATTGAAAGTGGAATCAATTACCAGACACTGACCTTAATCTGATAATGATGTCACTCACTCAAACTCCACCTTCATTTGATGATAAACGGTCTACACTTTATGTGAAACTTTGATTCAGCAATACTCCTTTCTAATTTTCACTGACTTTCTCCTTTTCTTAAGAAAGAGGGAAGAGAATTCAATTTAGACTGTGATGTATAATGGGTAATGCTGTCTCAACACTTGTCTGATGTAAAACAGAATGGTGATGTGCTATTACCCAGGAAGAATTTCAACTTAACAGCTCTGGTTCAACAGATGCCAGGGGCCAATAGTACCTCACTGTAGAGACAGATATTCAAGTTCAAGCTCTGAGAATGAGGATAAGCATGCTTTTCGTGTCACCTTCCTCTCATGTGGTTGATCATGGTCATATTCCATCCTGTTCTCTTTGATATTTACATGGGAAGGGAATATTGGAACGGGACTAGGCCCTTCAACCCACCGAGTCAGTCCTGCCATTCAATTGTATCATGGATGATCTCTACCTTAGCATTGGTTACCGGACTTGCGTTTAATGCTCTTGTCTCACAAAAATTGATCAGCTTTGAAATTTTCAATTAAACCAGCTTCAGTACGTATGCAGGAGGTGAGATGGTGGTGGGGATATGAGTTCCAGATTACTATTTCTTTTGCTGTGAAGAAGATCTTCCTAATAACAGCCCAGAACAGCGTAGCTCTAATTTTAATGCTATATTCCCTTGCTCTGGACTTTCCCTATTAAAATCTTTTAATCATCTTCAACATCTCAACTGGATCACCCTTAATGTTGTATATTTAAGCGACTCGATATCAAATGAGTCAACCCATCCGCATAATTTAATCCATTTTGCCCTCAGATCATTCAGTTGAATTGATGCTGAGCTCCTCCAAGCCCAATAAATCCTTCCTGATACATGCTGCGACCAGAACTAAATCCAATATATTAAATTTGAACTAACCAGAGATTCTTACAGCTGTATCATCGCTATCAGTCTTTAGCATTCCAGTCTGCTTGAGATAAAGGCAAAATTTCATTAACATTTGTTTTAAGCTTTTCCTAATTTCTGCACAAATTTTACTGCTCAGCCACATCTCCAAGCTTCTCACCATTTAGAAAACACTGAATTTTTTTTAGGCACTTTGCCATTTGCTAGTTTTGCTAATTGAGTCTACTTTAGTCCATCTGTGTCCTTTAGGAAATTGTTGTATGCCTCCACACGATTCACAGCACCTGAGCAAATTCATTCCATCAGCAAACTTTGTTTTTTTCTTGTCCTTCAGCCAAAGTCATTGATAAATAGAGTGAAAAGCTGAGTTTCCCCCACATCCCTGAAGGACACGCAATATATCACAAAAGTGCTTCAAACAAGAGCCCCTGGGAAACAACCACAGAATCCCTACAGTGTGGAAGCAGGCCATTCAGCCTATCAGGTCCACATTGACTCTCCGAAGAACAACCCACCCAGTCCCACCCCCTACCCTATCCCTGTAACTTTACATTTCCCATGGCTAATCCACCTAGATTGTACATCCCTGGATACTATGGGCAATTTAGCATGGCCATTCCACCTAACTCACACATCTTTGGACTGTGGGAGAAAAGTGAAGCACCCGAAGGAAACATGGGGAGAATGTGCAAACTCAACACAGACAGTTGCCTGAGGATGAAATTGAACCTGGGTCCCTGACACTGTAAGGTACTAGGGCTAACCACTGAGCCACCGCGCCAACCTGGAGATGGTTTCATCAGAAAGCATTCTTGGTTAAATACAGCACCCACTACCTCCTACTGAAATTAGTCTTGGGTCAAGCCTGAAATATTGCTGAAATGAATGGCTTTCCTAATCACTGGCTTAAAAGCCTGAACCACCTGCGAAGTCAACTTTTGATGTCTTTCCTGTTGTCAGATATGTGTGATTGCAACAAGTCAGTTGTTCAGTTGTTGGTGGGATCTGTTAGTGCTTATTTCATCAGATTTACTGCCACATCATGATTCATAGAGGAGCAGGGGAGTTCTTCTGATGTTCTGGCTAACATGTTTTGTTCAATCAAAACCAAAAACAGAATATTTATTTCATTGATAACTGTAGGAACTAGCTGTGTACACCAAATTTCCTGCATTACAACAGTGACCATATTGTAAAAGTATTTTATTGATGGTAAAGTGCTTCAGGATTTTAAAAGTCAGTTTAAGGCATTACACACCTTGAAGCATTCATTTCCAGCAACACTTGCCAAGCACAACGCTCACAATGTGGTTTCCTCTACATTGGGGAAACAAAGCGTAGAATAGGTGACCACTTTGCAGAACACCTACATTCTGTCCGTAAAAAAGACTCTGAGCTTCCAATTGCCTGCCACTTCAACACAACACCTTGTTCCCTGGTCAACATTTTTGTCTTGGGCTTGCTGCAGTGCTGCAGCGAAGCTCAGCATAAACTGGAAGAACAGCGTCACATTTTCACTTAGAAACCCTATAGCCTTCAGGACTCATTATCAAGTTCAAAAATGTTAGGGATTGAGCACATTTCCCCATGTCTTTCCCCCATCTCCAAACACTGGGCCTTGTCATCACATGGGCTACTACCACACACATTGTCAGCTACAAATAGTCCCTATTAGCGGCCATTCATTCAACTAGGCTGACCTTTATCTACTCCTTTGTCCATCCAACTGTTTTTCTCTCTCTTGGGGCTCTACCTCCACCCATCATTTACTCCTCCCCCTCCCCTGACCCTATCTTCTGCATAAATACCAACAATTTCCTAACTACCATTCGTTCTGAAGAAGGGCCACTGGACCTGAAACATTAATTTTGCTTTCTCTCCACAGATGCTGCCACACCGGCTGAGTTTTTCCAACAATTTCTGTTTGGGTTTCTGATTTTCAGCATCTACAGTTCTTTTGGATTTTTGTTCAACAAACATGAATTGGTGTTGTGGTAATATCATTGGAACATAATCTTGAAAATCAGATTAGTACCCTGGAGATACAGGTTTAAGTCCTCATGCAGTAACAGGTGGACTTTGAATTAATTAACATTAATAAAATCAGGAATTGAAAGCTAGTCACAATAATGGTGACCATAAAACTATCATTGATTGTTATAAAAACCCATTGGATTCTCTAATGCTCTTTAGGAAAAGAAATCTGCTGTCCTGACCTGGTCTAGAATGCTGTCTTTTCAATGTCTTGTTCGGCAGTGGGTAGCTGGTTTTAACCTTGGGCCAAGTCAAAACTACAGAAATATTTTGCACCTTTGTGAACTTGTAATGCTTGCTCACTCCTAGGCAGAGGATAAGTATCTTTGTTATTTTCACATCGCGTGCCCAACACTTAACACAGATCCTCAGTTTCCCACCTTCCTCATAAAGATAATGGGAAAGGTGTATGGACATGACTCCTCTTGGGTGACACCTTTCTCCAAAGACTTATGCAGGTCATCCCAGACTCCTCCCAGTGATGGACTGGGATCCAATGGTAAAGAGTCTTTACCAGAAGGTCACTTTTAGTCACAATCCTGTGGCTTACCAGGTCACAATACCTAATGTCATCATCATCTTGGTGCGAGTAGGAACAAACTGCCTTCTCTGGGTCACCTCCAACTCGTCAACATCCATCTTTGAAATTAGGTTAGAGACATTTCCTCCAGTTGCTCCATAACAGTGGCAGATTTAAGGAAACCTACAGGTGTTATTGGTTGGAGGCAAACCTCTTTGCCACTGAAATTGCTGATCTGCAGGAGTACCCTACCCTTTGCTCCCACAGTGATGAGAGTGGCTGTCTCCTTATGCTGACTGAGAATGCTATTACATGTGACACACGATGCTGTAGCAAGGCCTGAAGTTGACCAATTAGAGATGACTGGCATGGGCCTACAAGAATAGTGACAGTGTGGCTGGGTAAAAGAACAGTCTGATTCCCTGCTACTCGAACAGTTCCAGGGTCCTGATACTCCTTGAGTGTGCAGAGAAAGGTCAAAGACTTGCCAAGGGTACCCAGATATCTCTCAATACATTTGACACCCACACCATGGGTATTGTTAACTCCCTAAGTTCCACTGGAGTTTCAATCAGGTCAGATTGAAGAATGAGAGGCAGAGCTTGATGTAACCATTGGAAGGGATATCTGACTCCCACAATGCAGAGACCAGGATGTGGAAGCAATATCAATCAGCTCCCACCCTTCAGCAAGATGTTCATGTTAAAACTGGCATTAATTAGGGACAATATTTCTACCTTGCCAAATTTCAGACCCACTGTAGGGAAAGTCCCTATCACTGTACATGAGACTGAGTTCCTTCCTGAAGCAACCTTGCTCCTCCACATGTTCCTTTTAGTATAACACCTGGGTAAGAAGGAAGAACAATTGCACTGGATAGGATCTCTGATGGCAGAGGTGGCTGGGCTTGTTCAGGGCAGTCTCATTTGAGGTGCCCAGCCCTGGCATGATTCCAACACCTTTTTGGAGCATCCCTCAAATGGGATTGGCTATGAGGCTTACCAAGGAGATAGGGCAACAAGAACCAGATCTGTACTTGCCAAGCAGCAATCTGTTCCATTGCCTCTTCAGCCCAGGGTCTACAGCCGACAGTCTTTGGTAGCCTCTTTCCTCGTGTTAGGAGTGAATTTGTTCCCCAAGATCCAGATGATACGATCCTGTGTGTCAAAGAAAGACAATTGAGCTTTGTCACTATGAAACCTCCTCAACACCATTTGAAGGTTCTTTTACATTGCAGTCCTTCAGCTGCCTGCCCTTGGTTGATTTGGAGAAGGGATCCAGGAGAACAAAGTGGTTAAACAGTTTCACTGTACTCATACAAATTCTCCTCTAATTGTATCAGGTTAGTGCTCTACCCTAAAACCTGTCAGTGCCTCAAAGATGCACTGTGAGCTTCTTTGGACACCTGTACCTTTTCCTATTATTTCCTAATGTGCTTTTTCACAGGGGTGTCACTTGCTGACCCACAATAGAATATCTAAATAGGATTACTACATCCTTCCTTGTAGTATTGAGGGAGTGCACATGGGGAGCCTCCACCTCAGTTTGGCTTAATTGTCTGATCTCCTCCACTGATACCTGAGCCTCCAGAATTCTTGGAGCAGCTTCAGCCACTGTCATGGACATTGTCAATTTTAACTCTTCCATTGTCCACACCATCTCGGCCAAGCACCTTTCAACCTCATCCATCATGATGTGATGCCTGTGCTGTGGAATCCTGCTTATTGCAGAAAATACAATTGAAAATCAACAGGAATGCTGAAAGTTTAGAAACACAGGAACAGAGCAGACCATTCAGCCCCTTGAGCCTGTTCTGCCATTCATTGAGATCACAGCTAATCTGTGGCCAAATTCTGTATGTCTGCCTTTGGCCCATATCTCTTAATACCTTTGCTTGACAAAAATATATCTATCTCAGATTTAAAATTGACAACTGATCCAGCATCCCTTGCCATTTGTGGAAGAAGAGTTCCAAATGACTATCACACTTTATGAGTAGAATTGCGTTCTAATATCTCTCCTGAATGGTTCTAGCTTTAGAATGTCCAACCAGTGGAAATAGATAATCATTATCTACCGTGTCTTTTCTGTTAATATCTTGAAGTCTTTGATCATATCACCCCTTAACCTTCTAAAGTTGAGAGAAAACAGGCTTAATTTGTACAATCTTTCCTCATTACTTGACCCCTGAAGTCCAAGTATCATCCTTATTAACCTAGTTTTATTCCCTTCAAGGTCAATATATCATTTTGAAGGTATGGTGCCCAGGTAGGAAAAAAGCAAATAAGAAAAGGAAAGAAGAACTATGAGAAAACAGTTAACCTTAAGGGAAGTCCCAAAGTTTTCTATAAGGCATATAAACGGTAAGAGAATTGTTAAAGCAAGAGACCAAAACGGGGATTTACAGATGGAACAAAAACAAAGTTGCTGTAAAAGCTCAGCAGGTCTGGCAGCATTTGTGAAGGAAAAAGCAGAGTTAATGTTTTGGGTCCGGTGACCCTTCCTCAGAACTTTTTATTTACAGATGAAAGCAGGCTGAGGTGAGAAATGGTACTCTGCATCTGTCTTTACAAAAGATGAGTATGCTACTCAGACCACAGTGACAGAGGAAGAATATCTGTCACTCGAAGGCACCAAAACTAATAAGGAAGAAGTCTTGGATACGTTGTTGGCACTTAAAGTTAGCAAAATGCTGGGACCGGATGAGATGCATCCAAAGATTTTGAAGGAAATGAGGGTAGAAATTGTGGAAGTGCAAGCCATAATATTTCAGTCTTCCCTAGACTCCAGGGAGATACTGGAGAATTATCAACATCAGGCCTTGTTCAAAAAAAATTGTCGGGATAATCCGAGGAATTACAGACCAGTTAATTTAACTTCGGTAGTGGGGAAGCCATTAGTCAGGATTGAATCAATCGTCGTATGGAAAAAGGTGAGTTGATTAGAAAGAATCAGCATTGATTTCTAAAGGGGAAATTGTGTTTAACTAGCTTGCAGGAGTTTTTTGAAGAGGTAGTGGAAAGTGTTGATGAGGGTGACACTTTTCACATGGATTTCCAGGAGGTATTGTGTCTCACAATGACTCACTACAGACTTGGTGTAAAAGGATCAGTGACAATGTGAATACAAAATTGGTTGAGTTACAGAAAATAGACAGTAATGGTCAATGGATATTTATTGGGTTGGTGTAAAATTTGGCATGGAGTTCCCCAAGGGGTCAGTATTGGGACCCTAGCCTTTCCTGTTACATATTACTGCTCTGGATCTTGGTGTATGGGGGACAATTTCAAGTTTGCAGATGACACTAAACTTGGAAGAATTGTAAACTAAAGATAGCTTGGAACTTCAAAAGGACAAATTAGTGGAGTGGGTGAATATGTGGCAGATGAGGTTCAAGGCAGAGAAGTATGAGGTGATGCACTTTGGTCAGAAGAACACTGGAAGACAATGTAAAATGGGAGGCAGAATTTGAAAGAGGGTGCAGGAGCTGAGGAACCTGTGCATATGTGTGCACAATTCATTGGAGGTGGCAGGACAGGTGGAGTGAGCAGGAAAAAAAAGCATGCAGCGTTCTTGGCTTTATTAATAGGGGCATAGAGTACAAGCAGGAAGGTAATGTTGAACTTATACAAGGCACTGATTAGATCTCACCTGAAGTATTGTGCACGGTTGCAGTTGTCACATTATCAGAAAGATGTGAATGCATTGGAGAGAATGCAGAAACAGTTTACTGGAATGGTCCTGGATTGAAGATTGAAGAAGTTGGGACTGTTCTCCCTGGAGAGAAGAATGCTAAGAGGAGATTTAATTGAGGTTGTCAAAATCATGAGAAAATTGGACAGAGTAGATAGGGTAAAGCTGATTCCACTTGTAAAAGAAACAAGAACTAGAGGCCATAAATTTTAAGTGATGTGCAAATGAAGCAAGTGTGATGTGAGAAAAAGCATTTTCCCACAGCAAGTAGTTAAGGTATGGAATAGACTGCCTGGAAATGTGATGGAGGCATGTTCAATTCAGGCATTCAAATGGGTGTTGGATAGTGATTTGGATAATAATGGTGTGCAGGAAAATGGGGAGAAGGCAGGAGACTGGCATGAGATAATAGAGTGGTACAGGCACAGTGGGCGAAATTGTATTTAAATCATTTTATCAGACATGATATGTGTATAGAGGTTTGTGATAAGTGCCCCTGAAGATCAAATATCAACATGGCAAATTATGAAATTGAATTCAGTAAGTTTGATCAGTTTTGCATTCGCACAAGAAATAAACAGCCATGAAACCTGCTTCATTTCTCATGATATTCCAGCCCCACACTATACAGGGTTGCATGGTGGCTCAGTGGTTAGCACTGCTGCCTCACAGCGCCTGCGACCCGGGTTTGATTCCAGCCTCGGGCGACTGTCTGTGTGGAGTTTGTACATTCTCCACGTGTCTGCGTGGGTTTCTTTCGGGTGCTCCGGTTTCCTGCCATAGTCCAAAGATGTGCAGGTTAGGTGGATTGGCCATGCTAAATTGCCTGTATTGTTCAGGGGTGTGTAGATTGGGTGGGTTATAGGGGGATGGGCCTGGGTGGGATGCTCTGAGGGTCAATTTGGGCTTGTTGGACTGAAGGGCCTATTTCCACACCATAGGGATTCTATGAGGGTTGAATCATATTACACTTTGAAGTGGACTTGTACAAATATAGTCACTAAGCAGGCAACCTAACACATACAACTGGATAAATCAAAGATAAATGTGGTTTTGGCAGTTCTACCGACATCTTAAGAATGAATTAAAAAATTTCAATAAATAAGAAATGGAACTTATCAGTCAAGTCGTAAGACTTGTTCATGAGTCAGATTTCACTTCTGGTGGTAACAGAGGAATAATGACTCGTAAGCCAGAGATGTGACCTACTTATGGGGAAAAATGAGGCTGGTGATTTTAGTGAGACAGTTTGTCAGGTTGGGATGGAGCCATTGTGACTTTGAAACCCATGTGGCTGCAATAATGGTGCATTGAACCGCAGAATCCAAAGTAACTTCCCCTCAGAATGGATTTGTAGAACTGCAAATAGGAAACAGTAAGTTGGAAATTAAATCTAGGAGCATTTAGGAAAGCTCTGTTGTGTTCCATTGAATAATCACATAATTGCAATCATATACAGTCACTCTAAATGTTGACTGTGTTATTTACAACAGACACGGAAAACTCTTTGTAAATTGTGGTCATGTATGTTCAATGGCTTACGTCAGGCATTCAGACCTGATCAGATAAAGGTTTCACGTATAAAACCCCTCTGTCTGATCTGGTAGCACCTGAAAAACCCTAATGCTATGTCTGAGGATGAAGACGTAGGACAATTTGTGATGTGGAGGGAGGGGCCAGTTCACACTATTACAATCCCGGTGACGTAACAGAATGAACAGCCAATGCCGGAAAACCAGGTCCAAGAGTATCCACAAGGTGTACTCACAAAAGATTGTCCGTGTTTGCATCAGAGGAAAAATCCTGCAATAAATGTATATAATAGTAACCCTGGAACCAGAAATCATCAGAAAAGCAGCAATGTCCCTTTAAATTACATCCATACCCTTCACTTTTAGAAGTGCTGTTGCTCAGCAACTGGGAATACTTCCTAGCAACTTTGGTGTCAAACTACAGCAACTTGACTGTCACTAAGCAACATTTGTAAATTCTGTGGCTTCCCGTACATTGGAGGTACTGAATCTTGCTTAGGGATAATCTTCCCATTGTCAAGAAATGTTCAAGCTATCACCTTCCCTACATACCTAGATGTATCCATGGTACTTGGAGTCATTTAATTTCCGTCGAAGGGACACTGTATGGTATTAGTTTCTGGAGAATTGAGCTGCTCGTGTTGTTAGACTCCTGAAAAGTTGTGAAATGGACGCAGTTACTGCTTTCAAAGCTGTCCAGCAAGAGATGAAGGCTTTGTCTCTGAATGATTTTCCTTGTGGTATTGGAAGTTGGGTAAGATTGTAGACTATTCCAGTTAAACTAATTCAAAATTTGGAAATTAATTCCCAGGGAGAATACCAGTTAGGTCTTTGAAAAATTGGACTGAAATTTAAAATTCCTAACAGATTTTCTAGCATGTTGTAATTTGTTAAAAATATTTTTATAATGACTAAACCAAAGGGTATTTATGTCACATTCTTAAGTAATTGATCTTGTTTGTCTGATCGATGGTAAGGAATTTTCCAGTTGTGATATGGAACAATTTGTAACATTAATATGGAGAATTATCAGGTTGTACACATATGACTTGCGAAAAATTACTTTATTCATCTGTGCCATTTATTTGTTACTGAAATAAATGCTCACGTCCATGCTTAAAATGGGAAAGCACCTATCTGGCCAAAAATTGTTCACAAATAAGTATTTACAACAACATTAATTGCAAAGTTGCTGGTTACAAAATCTTAAGTGCCCTGTTTATTTTGGGCAGAAACAATTTATTCAATAGCTCATGCTTGCTCAGATGTGCTTGTGCATATATGTGTCTCCCTAGATGGGCAATTAGAATTTCATCCATTTTCTTGGATATTTCAAGCTGGACATTCCTCCAACATCAAGAGTTGAACTCCTAATTTCAGTTATCATAGAATCATCATAGAATCCCTACAGTGTGGAAACAGACCCTTTGGCCCAACAAGTCCACACTGACCCTTGGAGCATCCCACCCAGACCCATTTCCCTATAACCCACCTAAGCTACACATCCCTGAACACTACGGGCAATTTAGCTTGGCCAATCCACCTAGCCTGCACATCTTGGGACTGTGGGAGGAAACTGGAGCACCCGGAGGAAACCCACACAGACACGGGGAGAATGTGCAAACTCCACACAGACAGTCGCCTGAGGGTGGAATTGAACCCGGGTTTCTGGCGCTGTGAGGCAGCAGTGCTAACCACTGTGTCTAATAAACTAATAGGATTATTTGAAATCATTGGGATGCAAAATAAATTAGGATTAATGTTTTTTAATTTTCCTCACAGGATGTGGACATCAGTCACTAATGGCAGCATTTATTGTCCATTGCTAATTGCCCTTGAGAAGGTGATGATGAGTCATCTTCTTGGAGCACTTTGTGTGTAGGGCTCCCACAATGCTGTTAGGGAGAGAGTTTCAGGAACTTCACCCAAAGACAGTGAAGGAATGAAGATAAACCTCCAAGTCAGGAGAGTGAAGGGAATGTTCAGCTGATGGTGTTCCCATGTACTTGCTGCCCCTATTCTTTGAGGTGGTAGAAGATGCAGGTTTGGGAAGCAGCTTCACTGAATTGTTGCAGTGCATCTTGTTGATGGTTTAAACTGCTACCCCTGTGCATCTGTGGTGGATAGAAGGAACATTAAAGGTCTTAGATGGGGTACGAATCAAGTGGATTGCTTTGTCCTGGATGGTGTCAAGCTTCTTGAGTGTTGTTCGAGCTGCACCCATCCAGGCAAGTGGAAAATATTCAGTCATACTCCTGACTTGTGCCCTGCAGATGGTGGAAAGGTTTTGAAAACTCAAGATAGGGTTTTGAACATTGTAACTGTAATTTACTCATTATAGACAACATGGCTCCTTTCAAATCATCTGGCACACTGCCGAGTGAATATAGGTTTCACCCAATACCATTAAATCCAGCGAATCCTCCTTGTCTTCAACTGAAGAAATAATCACTGCAAGACTGGCTGAATTATAGTTCAATCAATCATATTTAAAGTTAAAAATAAAGCACAGTAAACAGTTTGCTACCTTACAACATAAAACTATTAAGTCCTGATTGTTCAACAATAAATGACCAATACTCACTAACTTTTCTAAAAACTCTGAACCTGGAAATTACTCATATTGAAAACTCAAGGAAATGAGGTTTAATTCAATTCATAATGTTCACTGATGGAACCAGAAGCACTAATGAATAGTCCAAAAGCTGAAAGATACATAGCTGGTGTTAAATTATCAGCCGCCAATGGGGGTCAGTTAGCACAGTTGGCTGGACAGCTCATCTATAATGCAGAATGGATTCGATTCCCACACTGACTGAGGTCACCATGAAGGCTCTACCTCCTCAACCTCACCTGAAGTGTGGTGACCCTCAGGTTAAACTTACCACCAGTTCTCTCGAATAAGGGAGCAGCCCCTGGGACAATGGCCACTTTCACTTTCATTAATCAAAAATCAGAATATCCCAGAGCTGAAAGAACTGTTAACACTATACTTCCTCATTGGAAGATCTATTAATACCCTACTTCCTCCTTGCTGGGTTGGTAATGATTCCTGTTTGAGTAAATAGAATCTGAAACAACTTATTTGACCAAGTGAGCATCCAAAGCCATTTTTATATCTGAACATTTTGAACCAATGTTCCAAAATAAAACCCTTCACAGTAACATGTTTGTATAGTTGAAATCAGGCATCCAAGTGTCTTTAAATGTTAGCTTTAAATGAATATGGATTCCCTTCTGACACGGAGAAACGTCATTTGCAATGATCAATTTAAACTGAATATCTCTCCAGCATTAATAATTTTTAAAAAATCATACCTTTGACACTCCTGAGTTATTAAACAGGACAGCTTTCTGATTTAAAAACAGAAAATGCTGGAGAAACTCAGTTCCAAAATGACTCACTTTGGACCCAAAACTGTTTCTGTTTTTCCGTTTCCACAAATGCTACCAGACCTGTTGTGTTTCTCTAGAAGTTTCTGTTTTTATTTCAGATCTCCACAGGAAGATTAAAAACGGTTTCCACAAAAATTTCCTTTTGTTTTAGGTTTCTGGTTTGTCATGACTCAATATGAATGACAAGATACTACATTGGAGACTGTTAGCCATAACTAAGGTACCGAGACTTGAGGGTCTGAGTTATAGGGAGGGGCTGGATAGGCCGGGATTTTTTCCTTGGAGCATTGGAAAGTGAAGGGTGACCTTACAGAGGTTTATAAAATCACGAGGGGTATAGATCAGGTAATTGGCCACGTTTTTTTCTCAAGGGTCGGAGATTCCAAAACTAGAGGGCATAGGTGGGAGGGGGAAAGTTTAGAAAGGAACTGAGGGGCAACTTCTTCATGCAGAGAATATGGAACGAGCTGCCAGAGGAAGTGGTAGATGCAGGTACAATTACAACATTTAAAAGATATTTGAACAGGTACATGAATAGGAAAGGTTTGTAGGGATTTGCGCAAAATGCAGGCAAATGGGACTAGTTCAGTTTAGGAAAGCTGGTCAGCATGGGCAAGTTGGACCAAAGGATCTGTTTCTGTGCTGTCTGGCTCTATGAATCAATATAATTAGAGGGCAATCTCAAAGCATGGACAGGAAACTAACGAAGAGTTTTATGGCAGAATATTAGCGTGACAAGGACCAGGATACATTTCACCATGACAAGTAGAATGAGAAGCTGGCATTATGGGATTGACCAACTTTCATATGTTTAATATGAAGGAAACTTTTCTTGGTTGTACTGCTGGGTTTATCCTATCCAACAGCACACCGTCTTCCTGAGATTTCAGGGAATGCTACATTTTCAGAGGTTTCCTGTTTCCCATGAGGTGCTAATCCTAGGCTTGCTCTGCCTTCCTGGGTGGATGCAAAAGCTCCCATGACGCTACTTGACTAACGTCAGAGGTGTTCTACTGGTTTCCTGGACTCAACACCAACACCACCAAAATCTGATCATTTACCTCATTGATATTTGTGTGATTTTGCTTACTGAACATTTATTCAAGTTCTTTCTATAATGGTTTTCAAACTTTTTTTTCAAAATGTTGGTAATATCCACTTACAAGTTGTATGCAAAATTTTATGATCCGAAGTATCCTTCGCCCTCTGGTGTTCAACTTGAAATATTACAATACAGGTGAGTAATAGGTGTGAGTATATTGAAACATAGACTAGAGTGCCCTGCCTTGTATGAATGCTTTTCTCTTCATTTTATCATCCAATAAACCAGGCAATACAGTGTACAATATTTAGCAGATTTATTTTTGAATTAGAATTAGAATTAGCTTTATTATCACATATACTCAAATGAGTACAGTGAAAAGTTTACAAGGTGCCACATAGGTACAAAGATACCCAGGTACAGGTTCTTAAGTACAAATTCTTAGGGGGTAAACATTAGAAAAATAAAGAAATACAAAGTCTGGCATTACAGATCATAGGATCAAATTAGAAAATAAAGAAACAAAAAGTTCAGAATAACAGTCCTTCTAACCCAGTCTGCACTGACACCTAGCCTCGAGAGTTATTTATTGCTAATCCTACCAGCACAGAGGAATAATCTCCAGTACATTAAAGTGAGCAATGATAGGGGCATTTAAACATTTCCTTTTCATTTTCTTTGAAACTTTATGTTTTTAATGATAAGAATATTGGAAACAGAAAAATGGCTGTTTGATTGGCTGTCAAGCATTATCTTGTTTGGTAATAAATAGTATTTACGTTTTCCAATTGTTGCATTGTTATGATTTTAACTCTGCCTTCCTAGATATTTGTACTGATTTTAATTCCTGGGTTTTCAAGGGTGTTAAGGCTTCAGACAAGATATGGCTATGTGATTACTCAAATGTTTGTGTTAGTTGATATTATTCAAATCCTGTACAATTTTATTTGAGAATGGTGACTGTGACCATCAACTTTGAAGTTGCCAAGGAAAGCCTTATTTAAAATTTGTTCATGCTTTAGCTACATCTGCTCTTGACGAAGTGGTGGTGAGCTTATTAAATTGTTTCTGTCAATGCAATAAAGGTAGACAGTTTAAGGATTTTGACCTGGCAACAGTGAACACACATTGATATTGTTCCAAATCAGGGGGGGGTATGAAATGAAGAGAAACCTGCAGGTGGTTATGCTAGTTCTTCAAGGTGGTGGAATGTGTGAGTTTTGAGGGTACCACTGAAAAAACCTTCAGTGAGTCACAGCACTACATCTTGCATTGGTATACACTGCTACCACTGTGTGTCAGTGGTGGAGACAGTG